TCTCAACAATGACATGATACGCCAAGCCAGTGTAAAACCAAAGGTCAAGCCACACGACCAATTAGTACTGCTCGACTTCACACGTTACCGCGCTTCTATCTGCAGCCTATCAACGTCGTCGTCTTCGACGGGTCTGTGGGGACAATTCCCGGGAGCGCTAATCTTGAGGTTGGCTTCCCACTTAGATGCATTCAGCGGTTATCCAATCCGTACATAGCTACCCAGCGCTGCAGCTGGCGCCACAACTGGAACACTAGAGGTACGTCCATCCCGGTCCTCTCGTACTAGGGACAGCTCCTCTCAACACTCCAACACCCACGGAAGATAAGGACCGAACTGTCTCACGACGTTCTAAACCCAGCTCGCGTACCGCTTTAATGGGCGAACAGCCCAACCCTTGGGACCAGCTTCAGCCCCAGGATGCGATGAGCCGACATCGAGGTGCCAAACCCCGCCGTCGATGTGAACTCTTGGGCGGGATCAGCCTGTTATCCCCGGCGTACCTTTTATCCGTTTAGCGATGGCCCTACCACAAAGAACCACCGGATCACTAAGCCCGACTTTCGTCCCTGCTCGAGGTGTCCCTCTCGCAGTCAAGCGCCCTTATGCCTTTACACTCGTCGGCGGATTTCCATACCGCCTGAGGGCACCTTTGGGCGCCTCCGTTACGTTCTAGGAGGCGACCGCCCCAGTCAAACTACCCGCCTGACAGGGTTCCAGGCCCGGATAACGAGCCATGGTTAGGACGGCAGACACTCAAGGGTGGTATTTCAAGGACAGCTCCACAAAAGCTAGCGCTCCTGCTTCTACGCTTCCCACCTATCCTACACATAACTGCCCAACGACCACTGTCAGGGTATAGTAAAGGTGCACGGGGTCTTTCCGTCTTTCCGCGGGAACACAGCATCTTCACTGTGACTACAATTTCACTGAGGCCCTCGTTGAGACAGGAGCCCAATCGTTACGCCATTCATGCAGGTCGGAACTTACCCGACAAGGAATTTCGCTACCTTAGGACCGTTATAGTTACGGCCGCCGTTTACCGGGGCTTCAATTCAAAGCTTTTCCCCAAAGGGATAACTTCTCCTCTTAACCTTCCGGCACCGGGCAGGCGTCAGTCCCTATACATCGTCTTACGACTTTGCAGAGACCTGTGTTTTTAGTAAACAGTCGCCAGGCCCTGGTCTGTGCCACCCCTTCCCGCTCCATCCGCCTGGGACTTCACGGTAATGAGGTACTCCTTCTCCCGAAGTTACGGAGTCAACTTGCCGAGTTCCTTAACGAGGGTTACCTCAACGCCTTAGGATTCTCTCCTCACCCACCTGTGTTGGTTTAGGGTACGGCTTCCTTGTTCACTCGCTAGAGGCTTTTCTTGGCAGCATGGGATCATTCACTTTGTGACCGAAAGGTCTCGTCATCACTTCTCAGAGTTATGGACAGGGGGGATTTACCTCCCCATCCCTCCTACGAGCTTGCACCGGCACTTCCAACCGCCGGCTGAACTACCCTTCTGCGTCCCCCCATTGCTCAAATGCGAACAAAGAAGTACTGGAATATTAACCAGTTGTCCATCACCTACGCCTTTCGGCCTCGGCTTAGGAGCCGACTAACCCTGGGAGGATAACCTTGCCCAGGAACCCTTGGGTTTTCGGCGAAGGGGATTCACACCCCTTTTTTCGTTACTCATGCCAACATGCTCACTTCTCAACAGTCCACTACGCCTTACGGTATAGCTTCACCCCATTGAGAACGCTCCCCTACCACGTTTCCGAAGAAACGTTCGCCGCTTCGGCACGCTACTTAAGTCCCGGTAATTTTCGGCGCCATCCCACTCGACCAGTGAGCTGTTACGCTATCTTTAAAGGATGGCTGCTTCTAAGCCAACCTCCTGGCTGTCTGGGCAATCTGACTACCTTTTCCACTAAGCAGCGATTTTGGGGCCTTAGCGGGCGATCTGGGTTGTTTCCCTCTCGACCACAGAGCTTATCCCCTATAGTCTGACTCCTGCATCAGTCGTTACCGGCATTCGGAGTTTGACTGGATTTGGTAACCTGGTGGGGTCCCTACTCCAACCAGTGGCTCTACCACCGGGACGCTACAATGCAAGGCTCTACCTAAATAGATTTCGGGGAGAACCAGCTATCTCCAGGTTTGCTTGGCCTTTCACCCCTATCCACAACTCATCCGCCAAGTTTTCAATCTTAGTCGGTTCGGGCCTCCACGATCTGTTAGGATCGCTTTACCCTGGTCATGGATAGCTCACCTGGCTTCGGGTCAACACCAACGCACTAAACGCCCTATTCAGACTCGCTTTCGCTACGGCTCCGCCTCACGGCTTAACCTTGCGCGTTAGCATCACTCGTTGGCTCATTATGCAAAAGGCACGCGGTCACCCGCTTGGAAGACTTATCTTCCAAACTCGGGCTCCCACCGCTTGTAGGCATACGGTTTCAGGTTCTATTTCACTCACCTAATAGGTGTCCTTTTCACCTTTCCCTCACGGTACTTGTGCACTATCGGTCATGTGGGAGTAGTTTTAGTCTTGGGAGGTGGGCCTCCCAGCTTCCCGCAGGGTTCCTCGTGTCCCGCGGTACTTGGGAACGCAATCCAGAGTACGTTGACCATTTAAGCTACAGGACTCTCACCCTCTAAGGTACCGTTTTCCAACGATTTCGCCTATGCTCAACATTTCCTCCGGCGATTCTGCCGAATCACCCAATCACGCCCCGCAACCCCGCACAACCAACGCCGGCAGGCTTCCAATTGCACGGTTTCGACTGTTCCCTTTTCGCTCACCGCTACTCCGGGAATCGCTTTTGCTTTCTCTTCCTGAAGGTACTGAGATGGTTCAGTTCCCCTCGTTCGCCATCATGCCCTATGGATTCAGGCATGATTGCTAGGGTATGACCCCTAGCGGGTTGCCCCATTCGGAAATCCCCGAATCAAAGTGTGCTTACCACTCCTCGAGGCTTTTCGCAGTTAGCCACGTCCTTCTTCGCCTCCACATGCCAAGGCATCCACCGTATGCCGTATCTTGCTTGACCCTTGTCTAACACACTACAAACAGACTTGGTGTCGTATCATGTCATTGTCAAAGAACATAAAAATCGTACGAGATTCGCGTTCGAGAGTAAGACAAATCTTCAGCCTTCGCTCCCTGCATGTACAGAGAAACTAAGACTCCTTAGAAAGGAGGTGATCCAGCCACAGGTTCCCCTACGGCTACCTTGTTACGACTTCACCCCAATTACCACGCATACCTTCGGCACTTTCCCCCTCTTGCGAGGTTGGTACAGCGACTTCTGGTACACACGGCTTTCGTGGTGTGACGGGCGGTGTGTACAAGGCCCGGGAACGTATTCACCGGAGCGTGCTGATCTCCGATTACTAGCGATTCCAGCTTCAGACTGGCGAGTTGCAGCCAGCCATCCGAACTGAGACCAAGTTTTTGAGATTAGCATCTCTTCGCAGAGTAGCGACCCATTGTCTTGGCCATTGTAGCACGTGTGTAGCCCTGGACATAAAGGCCATGAGGACTTGACGTCATCCCCACCTTCCTCCCCGTTAACCGAGGCAGTCCCCTTAGAGTGCTCGGCATAACCCGGTGGCAACAAAGGGCGAGGGTTGCGCTCGTTGCGGGACTTAACCCAACATCTCACGACACGAGCTGACGACAGCCATGCAGCACCTGTGTACAGGCTCCGAAGAGAAGACAACTTTCATTGCCGATCCTGTACATGTCAAATCCAGGTAAGGTTCTTCGCGTTGCGTCGAATTAAACCACATGCTCCACCGCTTGTGCGGGCCCCCGTCAATTCCTTTGAGTTTCAGCCTTGCGACCGTACTCCCCAGGCGGGGCACTTACTGCGTTAGCGCCGGCACCGACGGGATCAATACCGCCAGCACCTAGTGCCCATCGTTTACGGCGTGGACTACCAGGGTATCTAATCCTGTTTGCTACCCACGCTTTCGCGCCTCAGTGTCAGGACTGGTCCAGCTGGACGCCTTCGCCACGAGTGTTCTCCCCTATCTCTACGCATTTCACCGCTACACAGGGAATTCCTCCAGCCCCTCCCAGCCTCAAGTCTTACAGTTTCCGCCGACCTAACACGGTTGAGCCGTGCGCTTTCACGACGGACACATAAGACCACCTACGCGCCCTTTACGCCCAATAATTCCGAACAACGCTAGCCCCTCCCGTATTACCGCGGCTGCTGGCACGGAATTAGCCGGGGCTTCCTTTGGGGGTACCGTCAGAACTCGAAGATATATTCTAGCCTCAAGCCCTTCTTCCCCCCTGACAGGAGTTTACAACCCGAAGGCCTTCGTCCTCCACGCGGCGTTACTGCGTCAGGCTTCCGCCCATTGCGCAAAATTCCCCACTGCTGCCTCCCGTAGGAGTCTGGCCCGTGTCTCAGTGCCAGTGTGACTGATCATCCTCTCAGACCAGCTACCCATCGCTGTCTTGGTGAGCCGTTACCTCACCAACAAACTAATGGGACGCAAGCTCATCCTGAACCGCAAGCTTATAATAGAGGCCTGCTTTCCCCTCGCGACTTATACCTCGAGGACACTATCTAGCCTTAGCCCCCCTTTCGGGGAGTTATTCCAGAGTTCAGGGTAGATTACTTACGTGTTACTCACCCGTTCGCCACTTTACTCAGGAGCCGAAGCTCCCTTTCTCGTTCGACTTGCATGTGTTAAGTACGCCGCCAGCGTTTGTTCTGAGCCAGGATCAAACTCTCCGTATTGAAACGGGTGTATGATCCAACTAACACCCCCAGAAGGGGCTTCTGGATCATACCTAATTATGAAACCTCTTACTCACAAACGCGAATCATCGTACGATTTCAAAGAACATCCTTCGTCATTGAAGGTGGCTGTAAAGATACCGTCTTCCTTTAGCTTTGTCAACGCCTGCCATGAAAAAATTCTTGCATGTGGGGGATGTCGGTTCCCCTGTTGCGGTATTTCCTCTGTGTTCGGTCTGTTCATCATGCTCAAGTCGCTGGGCGATCTAGGGCGCTGTTAACTCGCTGTCTCACCGCCTCAAACAACAAAATGGAGGCTGTCTGCGCAACGTTTAAGGAGTCCAATTGGCCTGCCATCGGGATACACACGCGGGTTTCGCTGCGCCACACGGATGTCAGCCCATCATGTTCGGCTCCCAACACCAGTGCGCTTGGTAGTCGCAGATCAATTGCATAGTACGACCGAGGCGCCAGCGGCGCAGCGGCAATGATTTGGACCGCGCCACGGCGTAACCACAGCAAAGCGTCCTTAGCGGTTGCCACCGCAACGGGTACTGCAAAACACGCCCCTTGACTGGCGCGAATGACATTAGGGTTCCAGAGATCTGTGCGTCCGTCACAAAGCACGAGGGCCGTGACTCTCGCAGCATCAGCAGACCGTAGCATGGCGCCCAGGTTGCCGGGCTTTTCCAGTCCCTCGGCCACAAGGTATAAGGGTTTGCTGGTTATGGGAAGGTCGGCAAGGGTGACGTACGGACAGGGAGCGACGCCGAGCAGCCCATCCGGGTGCTCGCCGTAGCCTATTTTTCTGAACACCGCAGGGGTGACCGGCTGCAAATGGCCACCAGCATCTTGCACTTTCTGGAGGAGGACGACCTGTTTATCTGCCACGGCTTGCGAGAAATAAACCGCCGAAATGGGAAAGCCATTGCTGAGAGCCATGCGTAGCGCACGGGCACCGTCGATGAGTAGCGTTCCCTGCTTTGCGCGCTCTCTGTACTGACGGAGCTTCACCAAGTTCTTAACGGTAGGATTGGTTAAGCTTGTAATCGGAGCTTTCATCAATATGTATCGTTGCGCCATCGCACCAAAGCCCCGCTGGGTAATCCGTGAGGGCTGCCACACTGTGGAATCAACATCTCCATGCTGCATAGCTGACTTCGCTCCAAACCTACTACGCCAGCCAGCATGTTTTCCAAGACTAACGGCGTAATGCCGGGGGTGTGGGTGCTCAGCACGACCGCCAACGGTGAGTCGCTGAGTATCTGTCGACATAAGTCGAGCAGCGGTGGCAGGTCGTGGGTGAGTTTCCATACCTCTCCCTTGGGGCCTCTCCCAAAGGAGGGCGGATCGAGTACGATTGCATCGTACCGATTGCCGCGGCGCACTTCACGGCTGAGAAATTTGGTGACGTCTTCGACGACCCAACGGATGGGGGCATCGGCCAGCCCGGCGAGCTGGGCATTCTCCCGCGCCCACGCCACAATGCCCTCGGCAGCATCCAAATGCACCACCTGAGCACCTTCGGCAGCGGCAGCAAGCGTGCTGCTTCCTGTGTATGCAAAGGCATTGAGAACCCTCACCGGTCGCCCCGCAACGGCGATCTGCTCCCGCAACCACTGCCAGTGTGGCCCGTGCTCGGCGAAGAAGCCCAAGTGGCCAAAATCGGTCAATTTGACGCGCAAAGACAGTCCGCAATAAGTCAACGTCCACATGGCGGGCAAGTCGTGTCGCTTGCGGTGCCAGCTACCCGACCCGGATGGACCGCGTTGGTAACACGCTTCCGCCGTTTCCCAAAATCCAACGGGATGTGAAGGGGGCCATATGGCGTGTGAGGCTGGACGCACTAGGCGATAGGGACCGACTTGCTCCAGCTTCCTGCTGTGGCCACTATCAAGCAATCTGTATGTTGACGTGGTGTCGTTCATACGATTCCGTTAGTGCCTCCCTTGCTCCGTTTGGATGTCAGCGCCTATTATGCGTTCACTCGGACCCTCATACAACGAAAGAAGTCCCATGTCACTAAAAGGTAAGGTTGCTTTGGTTACCGGCGCGTCACGCGGTATCGGACGCGCGGTAGCCCTTGCCCTCGCCGCAGCCGGCGCTCAAGTGGTCGTCAATTTTGTGAACCGCCGTGATGCTGCAATGGCGGTCAAAAAGGAAATCCAAGTGCTGGGGCAGGAGAGCTTGCTGGTGCAGGCCGATGTGGCAGCCAAACAAGACGTGGAGCGGATGATTTCGCACGTCCTCGACCATTTCGGGCAGATCGATATCCTGGTGAATAACGCCACGTTGCACAGAGGAGGCAAAGTCCATCGTCTGCCGGAAAGCGATTGGGAAAGCGTGATGGATTCCTGTCTGAGAGGGGCTTTCCATTGTTGTCAGCAGGTCGTCCCGCACATGACGGCTCGGCAAAGCGGCCGCATCATTAATGTTTCTTCTATCGTGGGACGCATTGGCTGGTCCGGCGACACTGCGTACGGAGCCGCCAAGGCTGGTCTCGTTGGCTTTACCCGTTCACTGGCCAAAGAAGTCGCGCCGTATGGCATTACGGCGAACGTCGTCATGCCTGGGTATATTGACACGGATATGACGTCCGCACTGACACCGCGCAGCAAGGAACTGATGGTGTCACGGATACCCTTGGGGCGGGCCGGCCAACCGGAAGAGGTGGCGGAGGTCGTCATATTTCTGGCCTCGCAGGCCGCTTATGTAACAGGGGCGGTCTATGTCGTCGATGGCGGGATGTCACTTTGAGAGTCCGTGATGGGGCAGCAACGAAGCGGCAGTGAACGGTCGGTTGTTCAATCTGCAGATGTGTCCATGCTGGCGGAGATTCAGGAACGCATTATCAACTGTGTCTGCTGTCCCCGGCTCGTAGCGCATCGCCAGCACGTGGCGGATCAAAAGGTGCGCCGATTTCGAAGCGAGTCCTATTGGGGCAGACCCGTTCCCAGCTTCGGCGACCCGCTTGCTCGACTCTTGATTATCGGGTTGGCCCCGGCAGCCCATGGTGCCAACCGCACGGGGCGCGCCTTCACAGGCGACCGCAGTGGCGATTGGTTATACGAAGCATTACACCGCTACCGCTTTGCAAACCAGCCGGGTTCTTCCCACCGGCAAGACGGTCTCACCCCCCATGATTGCTTCATCACACAGGTGATTCGCTGCGCTCCACCCGACAATAGACCCGATCGTCAGGAAATTGCAAACTGCCAGTCCTATTTGCTGGACGAGTTGCGACTGCTAATCAACGTACGTGTGGTCATTCCGCTGGGACGACTCGCTTTCGACGCATATCTCCGCGCCTACCAACAGATCGGTAACACTTTGCCAACGCCGCGTCCACACTTCGAGCATGGAAAACTGACGCGCTTGCCAACTGGTCACGCCTTTTTGCCTTCGTATCACCCAAGCCAGCAGAACACGCAAACGGGACGCCTGACACGCGCCATGTTTCACCAAGTGTTTGCCGCTGCCCGGACGCTGCTTGATGGGAATTGCGGGGAAGGATTGGGACTTACAGATAGACCACGCGGCTGCTCAACTGCCCCTCAAAGAGGTGCACAATCCCGTAACCGGGGGAGCCGGACCAGACCTTCGGAGCGGTGACGGTATCCCCAAACTGGTACGCGCTGGACGGCACGCTGGTAAACTGCACACCCCGATCGGTAATCTGTATCGGCATGTGAACGTGTCCGAAGAAAACCCGTTGCACCTGCCGATGCTGGGCCAGGATGTCCAGAAGATCGTCCCCGTTTCCGAACGTATAGGCGTCCAACCAATCCACCCCCGTAGGAACGGGTGGATGGTGCATAAACACCACCGTTGGCTGCTGCGAACCGTCCGTTAGCGTGGCATCCAGCCAAGCGAGCTGAGCCGCGTCCAACGCTCCCGCCACCTCCCCTTCGACTAGCGAATCGAGAACGACGAAACGGTACCCGGCAGCGTTAAACGTATAGTAATGCGGCTCGGAACCGGGTGATTCCTCTCCCAAGACGACGTGACGAAATGGCCGTCGCAGGTCGTGGTTGCCCATAGTGAAATACACCGGGCTCGGCAAACAATCGGTCAGCAGCTTAAGATGGCGGTAGGATTGTGGGTCGTCGTCACTAATAAGATCACCGGTGAGTATGACAAAGGCGGGTGGCGGATCGAGGTGAGAAATATGGGCGATGATACGTTCGAGGTTTTCGTAGGGGTTAACCCCGTATGACTCCAAGCTGGTGTCGGCGACGAGATGAGTATCCGATACCTGAATGAAATAGGGCGTTGCATTCACCATGCACTCCCGGAGCTTGGGGGCTAAGTTTGCCGCCGCCTTGCCTAACGGCAACGCCGGGCGTCGCGCCAATGCCGATACCGTTGCTGCATGGGAACCACGAAGCGATCCCAAATCGTCGCCACAAAAGGAATATCCTTGCGGAGGATGGCCAGGGCGGCCACGATCAGTAACACGCCTTGCAGAACAGGCAATACCAGCCCCGCCAAGCCGGCGATCAATAGCGCAATGCCCAACGCAATGCGGGAGATGCGGTAAAACCGCCCTGAGACTCCCGACGTGGCTTCCGCCCCTACGGAATCCTCTGTGTTTTCTTCGATACTTGGTGGCATGGCGTCATTTTCCTGCATCGCGTGACAGGCAGAACTAGCGTCTCAGCATAGAGCGAATGTCCTGCCGCGCTTCCTCGCGGGCTTCTTCGTCCCCGTGTCTCAGGTCATCCATATAGGGTTCGAGAGCTTCAATCAACTCCCGCTGCTTGTTCGTATCACTTGCCAGCCGCATGAGATCCTCGATTGCCTGCTCACGCACCTGTTCGTTCGGATGCACAACCTGGTTCAGCAGCCGCTCGGTTTCCGGGTTCGCTTTCAGATCCTCAAAAACCGACGTGGAAGCGCTATCTTTCCCCTGTGGGCTACGCGCCGTCGTACGTGAGGTCGCTCGCTCCGACCGAGCGACCACTCGGCGGGCCCGGCGTGTGCCCATTCGCGGCTCGACAGCAGCGCGCGGCCCGGCGCCTGGGCTCGCATTGGCATCCAGAAACAGAATGCGTTCGATCTTCACGCCGTCTTCCGTCTGGGCCGTAATGAGCGCATACCCTGGCACGCCGGCCACACGCAGCAGACGCTTGAGCCCTTCTATGAGAGACAAGTCGGTGAACTGTGTTGAAATTCGGCGATTAGGTAGTCCATCCAGGTTGCTGACGTCGATCTGTGCTTGCGAGGCGATGTCCCGGAAAATCGCACCGAAGTCCTCATCTTGCACGTCCACCGACAGGCCGTCTTGTGCGAAGACAACACCCGCCACCCGATGAGGTACTCCAGGGGCCGCGGCGCCAGCCCCCTGCGCCCAAGTGGAAGAGACGTTTCCGCCGATCAAAACCGGGACCAGACTGAAACCCAAAAAGCTTATCCAGAGCCGGTAGAGCCTCATTCAACATCCTTCCCTCACCTATGGGTTATGACTATAATGGCACGTTTCCGAGCAAGCCATGACGTGCTGTCTACCATGTTTTCAATGAGGAGTGAAAGATGCCAAAGGATAAAGCTCTTTATTCATTTGAGCTAGAGAAAGATATGATGGTGTTTATCGAAGAAATGACGGCGAAGTATAACTTGCCGGACGTTTCGAAGACAATGCGCTGTATGGTCAACTACGCCCGCGAGGTTGAGACGGCACAAGAGGGCATCTTCGCCGAGATCCGCTGCCTCAATTGTGGATGAGACAGCCAGCAGGCAGGAACGTCTGGGCATGCCATTTTCCAAATCTAGTCTTTCAATACGAACGCGGCATGCCCAGCACGTGCTCACCTAGGTAATTCAATACCATTTGTTGAGAAATCGGCGCAATTTTGTAAAGACGAACTTCACGATAAAGCCGCTCGACATCAAACTCCCGCGCATAACCAAACCCACCATGCGTCTGCACAGCGTGATCAACCGCGTCGCAGCCCGCCTCGGCCGCTAGCAGCTTCGCGATATTTGCCTCCTTGCCGCAGGGCAATCCGTTGTCGTAGAGCCACGCCGCCTTGAGCGTCATCAACTCGGCTGCCTCCAGGCGGGCGTAAGCCTCCGCCAGGGGGAACTGCACGCCCTGGTTCCTGCCGATTGGACGACCAAAGACAACCCGATCCTTGGCATATTGCACGGCTTTGTCGAGCGCGGCTTTGCCAATGCCTACGGCTTCCGCCGCGATCACGATGCGTTCCGGGTTCAAGCCGGTCATGATATGGGAAAAGCCCTCGCCTTCCTCGCCCACGAGATCAGCATGCGGCACCCGCAGATCGTCGATGAATAACTCGTTGGAATCGACCGCGTGGCGGCCCATTTTCTCGATCAGCCGCACCGAAATGGCGGAGCGGTCCATTTCGGCGAAGAACAGGGACATGCCTTTGGACCTTTTCGCCACCTGATCCGCCGGGGTCGTGCGTGTCAAGATGAGAACGCGGTCCGCGTTTTGGGCGTTCGTACACCAGATCTTGCGTCCATTGATGGCCCACTCGTCGCCGTCCCGCACCGCCGTCGTCTGCAATTGTGTGGTGTCGCTGCCCACGTTGGGCTCGGTCACCGAAAACGCCAGCTTCATCTCGCCCCGCGCGATGGGGGGCAGATACCGCCGCTTCATCTCGTCGCTGCCATGCAAAATGATCGGCATGGGCGGGAACATCGAGAAGTGAATGGGTGAAGCGCCGGACGTCCCGGCGCCGGACGCGCAGATTTCCAGCAGGACGAGGGCGGCCTCGGTCACGCCCAGACCGCTGCCACCGTACTCGGTGGGAATGACCGTCCCCAACCAGCCATTGGCGGCAAATTCGTTGAAGAATGCGTGCGGGTATTCCGCGGTGCGATCCAGGTCGCGCCAGTAGCCCCAGTCAAATTTCCGCGCTAAGTTCCGCACTTCGGTGCGAATCAGTTGCTGCTGCTCCGATAGCTCGAAATCCATCCGCCATTACCTTCCGTGTCAGGAATTTTCAGGGCTGCCGCCCGCGGACTGTGCCAGGGATTCGCCCCATTGGGTGATACGCTCCGGCGCGATTTTGATCACCAACCCGTCACTGCTACTCAGGTGGCGATCACGATATTGGGCGTATTTTTCTTCGAGCAGCGCGAAAGCGTGGTCACGCTCGGTTCCCTCCTCCAATATCGTCGCCGGGCCGCGTATCATCACGTAATAAAGCTGTTGCCAGTCTTCCTCATAATGGTGCACCAGAAACGCCACGCGCGGATTCTCAACAATGTTGCGGATGCGTTTCATACCGTAACCGGCACGGCGCTTGGGCTTGTGGTCGATGGCCGAATAAACGGCCTGCCCATCGTAGGCGAAGCATATCGGCACCATGTGCGGGGCACCGAGCTTGTCGGCCGTCGCCAGATGGCCGAAGCGGTGCGTTTTCAGCAATGCGACAAGATTGCTTGATACTGCCATGACGCGTTTCCCTGTTCCGACCGAAATCGCCTACGCAAAATTCACGCCAACCGGTCCCAAGCCGCCGCCGAATGTCGCCTTGAGTACATCGCCGGACGCCATGCGCACGGCGCCGGTCAGGGCGCCGGCGAGTACCATGTCGCCCTCCTCGATCGCCAGATCGAACTCGGCGAGTTTGTTGGCCAGCCAGGCGACCGCTTGCGCGGGATTGCCCATCACCGCGCCCGCCGCGCCGGTGGCAATAATGTCGCCGTTCTTCTCGACCACCATTCCCGTGTAGCGCATGTCGAAATTCTTGACCGAATGAAGCTCGCCGCCCACGATAATGCCGGCGGTGCCGCAGCTATCCGCCAAAATGTCAGCCACCTTGGCGCGGCCGATCCAGTCGCGCATGCGCGAATCGCCGAGTTCCAGCGACGGCATGATACCCTCCGTGCTGCGCAGCACCTGCGGCACCGTCACCCCGGGCCCTTCGATACGCCGGCACATCACAAAGGTGATCTCGCATTCAATGATCGGCTGGATCAGCGACGCCGTGTCGACCGGCGTTCCTTCCATATAAACGCCTTGGCCCATGAGCTGCCCGCAAACCGGTTCGTGTACGCCAAAGACTTCCTGATTCGCCCGGCTGGTGAGGCCGATTTTCTTGCCGACTACCCGGTCTCCGCGCGCCGTCCTTTTGTCGGCAATGGCGAGTTGCACCCGATAGCCGTCCGCGACCGTCATGTCCGGATGGTCAATCGTCAGTACCTCAACCGGCTCGCGGCTTTCTTCCGCGGCGATCAACCGGTCGGCGAGCGTTTTAATCGTTTGTGCATCCATGGATTCCCCTCACGAGACAGACTCCTGCGCCAGCCACGCCTCCGCCACCTCAAGATGCGTAGCGAACCACACCTCCTCGCGCTCTCGCAAATGGCGGATAAGCCGCTCCAACATCGCCATGCGGGAACGTCGCCCAATCACTTGCGGGTGCATGACGATGCTGAGAAAGCCGCCGTCGTCGAAGGCACCGTCACACTCCGCTTGCCAGATTTCGTAGACCTTGTTCTGACTCGACATCCCGGTGTAATAGGGATGGTAGTTGAAGAGAAAGTGTGAGGTATCGGTCATTTCCCAACTGAACGGCACTTCCAGGAGGGGCCGGCCGGTCTCGGGTGTCTGGATCCAGTAGGGTTCATCGCCGCCGACTAGACTGCTGTCATACGTGAAGCCGTGATCCAACAATAGCTCCAGGGTATGGGGGCCGGCGTTGCCCGCCGGGGCGCGGTAGCCTTTCGGAATAGCGCCGGTAATGCGTTGCAGGCTCTCGATGCCCTTGCTCAACACCTCCAACTCGACCTTGCGGCCCTTGTTGACTACGTATTCGTGTTCGTAACCGTGATGACCGATTTCGTGGCCCGCGGCATGCATCTGCTCGACTAGGTGGGGATACTTGTCAGCCGTCCACCCCGGCACGAAGAACGTGGCCTTCAGGTCGTATCTGCGCAGCAATTCCAGAATGCGGGGCACACCCTCCCGGGCGCCGTACTCGCCGCGCGACATCTGGCCGAGAAAGGGCTGACGGAGGGTACGGAACCAGATCGTCTCGGCGTCGAAATCGAAGCTCAATCCCACCGCGCATCGCTTGCCTGACGGCCACCGCCCTTGCATGGCACTCCTCCGTTCCGTCACATGGTTTATGGCCCGAAATCGGCACGCATTGTAGACCAGGGAGGGCCAATTCTCAATTGCCGTTCGGGGACAGGCAAACAAGCTTTTCGCGGCGTCCTTTGTGCTTGACACCCAGACCTATTGCGCATAAGGTCGGCCCTCCCTTTGCCGTGGTGGACGCTTCGCTCGTGGCCCATCATAGCGCCAAACCTACCGCATCCGGATAGCAACAGCATGGCTGATCCCGTCCTGCAGATCGAAGACCTCAGCGTTCGCTTTCACCTCAAGCGCGGCAGGCTGACGGCTGTCGACCGTGTCTCCTTGACGGTGAACCGCAGCGAGACCTTCGGACTGGTCGGCGAATCCGGCTCCGGGAAGACGGTCACGGCACGCGCCGTCATGCGTCTCGTTCCCATCCCCCCCGGCGAGATTTTTCATGGCCGCGTCCTGTTCGACGGCGAGAACGTGCTGGACAAGTCGGAAGCCGAAATGCGCCAACTGCGCGGCAGGAAGATCGCCATGGTCTTTCAGGAGCCGATGAGCGCCCTGAATCCCGTCTTCACCGTTGGCAACCAGATCTCAGACGCCCTGCGAACCAACCTCGGCATGAGCAAAAGGGAGGCGAAGGAACGCGTCATCGAGCTCCTGAACCTGGTTGGCATCCCGTCGCCCGAATCGCGCTACGGCAATTACGTACATGAATTCAGCGGCGGCATGCGACAGCGCGTCATGCTGGCCATGGCTCTCAGTTGCAATCCTTCTTTCTTGATTGCCGACGAACCCACCACCGCGCTCGACGTGACCATTCAGGCCACCATCCTCGAGCTCATCCGGAGCATGACCGAACGCTTTCACATGTCGCTGATTTTCATCACGCACAACCTGGGCGTCGTCGCCCACACCTGCGACACCATCGGCGTTATGTACGCCTCTCACCTCGTCGAGCTCGGCACCAAGAACGAGATTTTCGCCAATCCGTTGCACCCCTACACGCAGGGTCTGCTGAACTCCATTCCGCGCCTCGACACGCAGGCGAAATTCCTGACGCCGATCAAGGGTTTGGTGTGCAACATGCTGGAACCGCCGCAGGGCTGCAAATTCAACCCGCGCTGTGAGCACGCCATGGACATTTGCAGCCAGGAAGTGCCGCCGCTCAAAGAGGTTGCTCCCGGGCACTTCGTGGCCTGTCATCTGCATCCATGAGCCGGCATGGGAAACGGGACGCCAATGAGTGATTATTTTCTGGAAGTCAAGAATCTCACCAAGTACTTCCCGTTGAATAACGACCTGATCTCCCGCCTCGGCGGTAAGACCCGCACCCTGAGGCCGTGGATGATATCAGCTTCTTCATCAAGCCCGGTGAAACGCTTGGATTGGTGGGGGAAAGCGGTTGCGGCAAATCTACCACGGCGCGCCTGATTACCCGCTTAATTGAGCCGAGTGGCGGCTCCATCTACCTGAAAGATGAAGATCTGCTGTCGTTTCCACCCGAACGCATGCTGGACGTGAGGAAGACCATTCAACTGGTCTTTCAAGACCCGTACAGTTCCCTGAACCCGCGCAAAACCATCATGCAGATTCTCAGCCGCCCGCTGGAGGTCCACAATCTCGCCAAGGGTTGGACGGCCAAGCGTCGCCACGTGCTGCATTTGCTGCGCCTGGTGGGCCTGGGCGTCGAGCACGCCGACCGCTATCCGCATGAGTTCAGCGGCGGCCAGCGGCAGCGCATTGCCATCGCCAGAGCCTTGGCCGTCAGCCCTCAACTGATCATCGGCGACGAACCCGTGTCAGCCCTGGATGTCTCCATTCAGGCGCAGATTCTCAATTTGTTCCGGGAGTTGCAGCAGGAGTTCAACCTGACCTATCTGTTCATCGCCCATGACCTCAGCGTCATCCGTCACATCAGCGACCGGGTCGCGGTCATGTATGTCGGCAAGATCGTCGAAACCGGCACGGTGGAAACTATCTTCGAGAACCCCAAGCACCCCTACACGCACGCCCTGCTCATGGCCGTGCCCCATGCCGACCCGCTCAAGCCGCCGCCCCGCCTGACGCTGCAGGGCGAACTGGCCACCCCCGTCGATCCGCCGCCGGGCTGCCGTCTGTACGGCAGATGTCCCATCGCTACCGACATCTGCGGCGAGGTGTCGCCGGAATTGGTCGACCGCGGCAATGAGCATTACGTCGCCTGCCACAATATCTAAAACGAGTATTGCAACCCCAAGGTGAATTGCGGGGTCTCGCCGAGGAAGCGGGCCTCCACGTTGACCACGACATGCCCGGCCGGGAAATCGACCAACGGATAAAAATTTACCCCAGCAAACCCCCGCACCGGAACGGCCGATTCAAAATCCGACTCCAGCACACCCTCGCCGCCCGACAATGTTATTGTTGACTGGTGATAGGCCACCCCGCCGTAGAGTTGAAACGTCTCAAACCGCCGTGTGCCGACGCCCAAGGCGGCGTCGAATTCCTCCCACAAGCCCCCAACCTCGTAGCCTTCCTGACCGTCCACGTCATCGTCGTCGCTCGAAAAACGCAGGTACTGCCCCGTTACCCCGACGGCACCCCAACCAAACCGCAGCAGGCGCAGCCGCAAGCCGCCGCCATAGGCCAATCCGAATGAGCCGTTGAAGCCTGCGCCGACGATTTCGAAGTCGCCGCCGCCGAAGCGGGCGTATATCTCGCTCCAATCGGTCAACCCCGCAACGACAGTCACCAGAGCACGCCCGGTGCCGATCTTGAATTCCCTGCCCGCCACAAAGGGGCCTTGCGACTCCATGACCTCCCTGAAACTGTCGCCAGCCAATTCAAGTCGCACCTGCAGCAGCCGTTCCTGGCGGGCGGCGGGGTACCCGATCATTCCGGCCAGTGCCGCAGGGGCTGAATCACACAACACCCAGATCGACACAACAACGCTCAACACAAGACGTACGCATATTGGCATTCGTGTTCTCCCACAGACGTGCAATGAATTTACAGGGGATGGAGCCTCGGGGCGGTATCGCTCGGGGGCTGTAGTTGGGGTGGTATCACGTTGGAAAACATAATGAATCGGCGTGGCAAAATATGAACGGGGCAGCGGTCAGCGTGACCAGCGCTGCCGGTTGGATCGACCCGCCCGCATGGTCCAGATTCTGTCCCACAACGGGGCGGCCTCGTCGTCGCGGTTGAGCTTTTCGAGCAGGAAGGCGAGGCGCTGCGCCACCTCCAGGTTATTGCCATCCGCCTCCAACAGTTGCTGGTAGATTTGAATAGCCGACTCGAACTGCCCACGCCGCTCATACGTCGTGCCGAGCTGAAAGTAATCCTCTTCCGTTTGCGGTTCCTCGGCTTGCGGCTCATCGGCGGGCATGTCGTCCGTCGCCGGTTCCGGCTCGTACGCTTCCACCTTCTCAACTGTCGGGGGCGAGTCCATCTGGTGCAACGTATCGAGTTGTTCAAGCAAATGATCGAGATTCGGCGCCGACTCTGCCCCAGGGCGCCGCGCACGCTGGAGTTCCTCTTCAAGCTCTGCGATGCGCGCGCACAACTGCTCATTCTCCTGCACCAACAGCTGATTCTCCTCCCGCAGCCGCGCCACCAGGCTTGCTGTCTGGCGAATCCTTGCCTCTAACAGGGCATACTTGTCGGCGGACATGATCGTCTCCTCGGCGCCAGCCTGCGCGACTCCGCCAGGGTCGTTCAGGCGCCTCATTTAGCTGTTCAAATCTCTCGATGCTCCGCATTGAGTGCCAGACTTTAATCAGACACGCCGGAACCTGTCAACGGCGTTTTTGCGCTTCATCGGCCCGTACGCCGTGTGATATTCTACGCGCCCCAACAACGTGAGTCGCAGTCAGCAACCCTTGCTCATCGAACGCCTCGGCAACCCACAGCAGCCGCGCTTCGGGAGTGAACAGCGAGAGGGAATCAGGGATGACCATCACAGGACGAGGCGTCGTGGCGCGTCGCGCTGGAGAACCGGCACACGTGGAAGAAATTCTCATTGATCCGCCGGGACCGGGCGAGGTGCTGGTTCGCGTGCAGGCCAGCGGTGTGTGCCACACCGATCTGCATTACAAGCTGGGCAGCGTCGGCAATGATTTTCCGTACCTGCTCGGCCACGAGGGCGCCGGCATCGTCGAGGCCGTGGGTGAGGGCGTCACCGCCCCGGCAGTGGGCGATTACGTCATCCTGGCATGGCGTGCGCCATGCGGCAATTGCCGTTTCTGCGCCATCGGCCAGCCGCATCTCTGCGCCGCCAGCCTCAACGCCGAGCCGCGCATGCGGACGGCAGACGGCGTCACCCTCAGCCCGGCGCTGGGTATCGGGACATTCTGCACGCACACCGTCGTGGCCGCTCGGCAAGCTGTGCCCGTGTCCACCGAATGTCCGCCGGTGCAGGCTTGCTTGATTGGTTGCGGCGTCATGACCGGCATTGGTGCCGTGCTCTATACGGCATCCGTGAGGCGCGGCAGCACCGTTGCCGTTTTCGGCTGCGGCGGCGTCGGCGCCAGCGTGATTCAGGGCGCCAGGATTGCTCACGCCGCCAAGATCATCGCCGTTGACATTGCCGAGAACAAGCTTAACTGGGCTCGCGAGTTTGGCGCCACGGACTTGGTGAACGCCCGCGACGGCGACCCGGTGGCAGCAATCAAGGAACTGACAGGCGGTAACGGCGTCGATTTCTCCTTCGAGGCGATTGGCCGACCCGAAACCTTGCTGCAGGCCCTGTGGGCGCGCGATCTCGCCGGCACGTGTGTGCTCATTGGCGTGCCGGACCCGACGATGCGTCTGGACCTGCCGATTCAGCAATTCTTCGGCTTGGGCGGCGCACTGCGGGTGAGCTGGTACGGCGACTGCCTGCCGTCGCGCGATTTCCCCATGCTGGCGGATTGGTACCGGCGCGGTGACCTCGACCTCGACCGGGCTGTCACGCGGGTCATCACGCTCGACGAGACGGAACCCGCCTTTGAGGCCATGGAGCGGGGCGAGACACTGCGCTCGGTCGTCCATCTCCCCGACGATTAAGCCGAATCTGAGACCGAAACCCATCATCCCCTTCCAGAAGCGGTTCTCATGCGAGGGCCGCTTCGCCCACCTGCACCGTTCCTAACGCGGTCCGTAAGCGTCTACCAGAGCCGCGACCAAGCCGCCAATCGTGTATTCGGAAGCCTCCACGTCGACGCGTAGCCCCAAGTTGCGGGCGGTCTCAGCCGTTATCGGGCCGATGACGGCAACCTGTGCCCGATCTGCCAGCGAACGGGCGCGGGCTTGGCCCAGTTGGGCAACGAAGTTGCGAACCGTGCTACTCGCCGTGAAGGTGAGAACGTCGACGCCGGCCTCAATTTCGGCGAGGGTTTCGGAGGAAGGTTCGGGCAGGATGGTATCGTAGGCGGATACCTCGACCACCTGGGCGCCGGCGCGTTGCAAGCCGATGCGCAGCGTGTCACGGGCCAGGGCCGCGCGCGGCAACAGGAAGCGCTTGCCGGCCGGGTCTGGCATCACCTCCAGCAGCGCCTCGGCAACGAACCGCTTCGGCACCACAACGCTTTGCAGACCCCTCGCGGCCAGTTCGGCGGCGGTTGCAGGACCGATGGCGGCCAGTTGCAGACGTGTGAAAACGTGGATCGTCCAACCCAAGCACAGCCATGCGCTGCCAGACGTGGTCGACGCCGTTGACACTGGTAAACACGACCCAGTCGAACGTCGCCAACTCGCGCAGGGCTGCGTCCAGCGCCGCGTACCCGTCTCTCGGTGGGGTGATGTGAATGGTTGGAAATGACAGCGGCACTGCCCCCAATGCCTGGAGGCGCGCTTCAAGATCGTGCGCCTGCGCCTGCGCCCGCGTCACCAAGATGCGTTTGCCCTGCAGAGGCATGGTTACCGAATCTTCGTGGGAATGGCGAATGTTGCTGTCCATGGGGGAGTTCCCAGCCGCGGGCTGCGGCTCACGTAAACAGGACGTACTGGCGGAGAAAGGCATCCACCGCGCCGTAGAAATGCGCGATGGTTTCGGTCTTGCGCCAGCCGTGTCCCTCGCCGGCGTAGACATGGTAAACATGCGGCACGCTGCGGCTCACCAGGGAGGCGACGATTGCGTCGGCCTGCGCCTTGGGCACCACTTGGTCGATCTCGCCCTGAAACACCGCCACGGGGTCGCGAATGGCTTCGGCGGCGAACAGGGGCGAGCGTTCGCGGTACAAGCCGGCCGCTTGCGGCAGCGGGCCGATCAACTGGTCGAGGTAATGCGCCTCGAATTTGTGGGTCGTGGCCACCAGGGCGAACAGGTCTGAAATACCGTACATGCTGATGCCGGCTCTGAAGAAACCGACATGGTTCACCAATGCTTGCAGGACCGTATAACCTCCGGCGCTGCCGCCCATGATGACCAGCTTGCCGCCGTCCACCCATCCCTGCTCGACGAGATGACCCGCCCCGCTGATCGCGTCTTCGATGTCGTAAACGCCCCAGGTGCCGCGCAGCGCCTCAGTGTAATCCCGGCCGTAGCCCGTGCTGCCGCGGTAATTGACCTGCAGCACGGCGTAACCGCGCGTGGTGAAAAACTGCGTTGCCGGGTGAAAGCTTGCCACCGCTTGCGAGGTGGGGCCGCCGTGAATAGAGACAATCGCGGGTGGCAGGCCGATGCCCTGGAAGCGGGTGCTGCTCGGCGGGTAGAAGAGGCCGTGCACCGTTGTGCCGCCGGGGGTCGGCCATGACACCGCCTGTGGCCGCGAGAATTCCTGCTCGGGAACACTTTCCGAGGCACTGCGTTTGCGCACGCGGGCGGCTTGGGGATTGTCGAGGGGCAGGGTAATGATC